TTTATTTCTACATTTTCTTATATATTTTTTTCATAGAGAAAATAATCGTAATAATGACACTAGATTTAAGAAAAAATTGATACATTGAAATAAAGATAATAAAATCTTTATTTACATTAGTATGTTACAAAGTCAATTATTATTTAAAAACTTCAGAGAGTTGTTGACTTTTTGAATTAGTTTTTAAATGACTGAAGCATAATTGACAATGATTTCATAACGAAGTGAATAAGGATTTTATTTTTTATTTTAATATATATGTCAATTTTTCCTTGATTATAGATCGTCATTATTATATAATTTTCGATTTTCAAGAAGAAGAATGCATTAAAAAATGTAGAAACAAAATAATTCCTGAACGATCGCAAGAAAATGGAAGTTATCCTCGTTTTTATATAGTAGTACTAGAGATTTATCGATAAAAAAACAAGTAGAACAATAAAAGCTGGAATTGTGTTGCATAAAACAAGTACATACCTAATTAAATTGAACAAAAGTTAAAATGATGAAGCCTTGATCAAGATCGATGAAAGATAATATATAAATCAAGATATTACTACTTGTAAAAAGAAAATTATCTAAAACTTTAAAAACTTCCTATTTCATATTATAAACGTCATTATACACTTGCACAACACTGAAATTCATTTGTCACGCAAGTAGAGTTCGAATTCGATGGTTCTTTATTCGCGAGTGGAGAACTGCTTGTTAGTCTTATCGACATCGTTTGCGCGTAATTATAGCTTCATTTTACAGCCACTATATACACGTCCACATATTTTCTTTTTTAGAATATAATCATTGCAAAATATTATATGCAAAATATTATTAGAACCATAAAAAAGTAAAGAAAATAGAAATCTTCACAATAAAATTTTCATATTAAAATTTTCACAATAAAAATCTTATAAATATGACTTTGATTTCTTATTAAAGCATGCTTTCATTGTGCTCAACAAACGTTCACTATGTGACAATCGATCACAGGTAGTATTTATTTATCGAATAAATGTGATATAATTATTAATTTTATAAATTTATTAATATATTTCTCTCGTACATATATAATTAAACTTCACATGACATATTATATCAATAAATAAATTGAAATTCTCTCTATCATTGGTTAAAAAAAAAAGAAGTAACTCAAACTTTCTTAATTTTAAATCATGCAATCATAAAAAAATCCACTCAGTTCAAAAAAACAATTTCAAAAATTTAATTCTTAGATTACAATGTATTAATTGCACTACAAGATTATATTTTAAATTAATAATTATCTAAATTTTATAAAATATACTCTCAATCTTAATACATATTATGTTTGCATGTTATTTATAAAAATTAAAAACACATTTATTAGATAATATTTATCCAAAATTAGATAATATTTATCCAAAATGTTGCAAACTTATACAGTAAATTTAAGAATTAAACTTTTCTGAGATTATTTTAAATGAAATTATCAAAAAAATCCATCTTAATATTTCTCGAATATTTTTTTAAAAGATATATCTTAAAATCCTTTTTCATATCTCAGACTTGTTTTCGTATGATATTCGTGCGATATATATGATAACTGATTGATGTTTGTTACCATTTCCGACATCTTTGATAATATAGTTTATTATCAAAGACTATATAAACGACAAACAAAATCCCATGCCTTCATAAATACTTCATCATACGAAATAGAAACGCATTAAGTAATACAAATAAAATTTTATAATCAAAGACAAATTCCTAAAACCGACTTTAAGGAAATAGAAATTTTTTCAAAACTTACATTTAAGAAATTTAAGTAACATATGAAATTATATCTAAGATGTAACGAAATAAAAATTATTTTAATTATTACTATTTTTAACATTAAAATTATTATTTTGATTGATATTTTAACTTACTATTTTGTTTGTATAATCAGCACTTAGCTAATAAATAATGAGTTAAGAGAAATGTTACAATTTAGAGATCGTTATCAATTTCATAGTCTATCTATTTCATAGACACAAAATAATATTATTATGAATGTTTTATGTATATATTATTACTGCATGGTTAATGAACGCTGAAAGTAAATACAGGAAGTGAATTATTTGCGAAGAAAATCCAATCAACTGATTCATGCATTTCTTTTGAGTCTTTCTCCAGTTTTTTCCTTAGAAACTTTTATATAGTTTTCTCAGTTCGATGATCGTCATGTAGTACTCATCAAAAAGCATATTTTCTTAATTTTAAAACTTGTATTTCTTAAAGAATGATTTGTATTTGTGTCAGTTAATTTTAATGTAAATCTGATGTGATAAATATGATGTGACTACTTAAAGATTAGCATTCAAATTATTGAAAAATGATGTAGTAATAATGTGAAACTGTGAATATAATTCAATCAATGTTAATGTAAGATAAAAATTGTGTATTACGATTTATCACATTTCAATAATCGCAATATACAAAAAATTAAGTTTATTTATTATTTATTTAACATTGGAGATATAATCTTCAATTAGAGTTTTGTCTCACAATTATCTTTTTCTAAATTCTACAATTTTTATAGAATCTAAATCTTCTGTTTAAAAGTAATTAAATAATTTTTTAATTTATTTATAAATTACATTAATTACATCAATAATAATCAAAATTTTTTGCACGTTTTATAGAATATTTATAGAATATTTTCTTTATATCTTTTTTATCTGAAAAGTAAAAACAACTATTTAAAACCAGCATTTGTATTAACAATATGTTTAGATTTCTGTAAATAAATTGCGTTTACATTTTCATAAATAAAATCAATTATTTTGATATGTATGCAATTGTCGGTATTATATATAATTTTGTTTTAGCTCAATAAATAAAAGTTGTTAATTGCCGCCATTGTACAAACCTCTTGTACACAGTTTAATAATAGAGTTTTAAGTTATTAAGTAGTAAGTTTGTGTGTGTGTGTGTGTGTGTGTGTGTGTGTGGGTGTGTGTGTGTGTAAAATTGAGAAACCCACTGACTTATAAATCCGTTCGAACTTGACCGCTCGATCATGTCTGTTTAATTCGTAGCTTTCACACAGGCAACATTCGTATAATTATTAATGACTTGTAAAATCCGTATCATCATTGATAGTGTAGTAAATATAAATAAAATATAGAGGCTTATCTAATGTAACATTTCTCGCTGGGTGCAACGGACAAGAATAAGAAATAAAATGACGTTTATCTGAATCCGTTTTCTTCTAATCTCTTTTTTTATGCTGGATTTTTCCATTGGTGTCGATATCATAATAAAGAATATACATAATAACAATATATCAAACAAATTTTTATTAGTAAGAAAAACAATATAGTAAAATTTAAGCAATAAAGTAAACAGAAGTTTCGAAAAAAACTTATAATTAATTTCAACATCACCTATCCAATTAATGTTTATATTTGCTATAATTATGTTAAGCTATAATGTTTTCTATATATTTCTGGAAAAAAAAGCATATGAAAGCATACTATGTTTGTATATTCAGTAACAAAAAATAAACATGTTTCATTATGTACTTACAATCTTGCTTACTTAGGCTGTGATCAAAGTTTCGTTTTGAAGCATTTAATGGACCAATTAGAAGAAAGAATTTTGCAAACTGACCAATTAAAAAAAGCATTTGTAGTATCGCGTTGACCATACCCTTAGTGTTAGAATTATCTTTTATAGGATTAATGAGAAAGTCAGAAAAATTTGTCATCAATCATTAAAAAATTTACAGATATTATAAATTATATTACTGCTAGAAATTCTGCATGTTTGCATGATGTATTTTCAGCAATTTCTGCAAACTAGATCGCACATAAGTTAGCGAGAAAAATGACATTATATGCTGTTTTAATTATTAAAATTTAATTATTAAGTGAACGTATTAAAATATCTTCATTTACTGGAACATTTGATCAAGATGAAAAAAATAGAGAACATTCAAGTGGATACTAATCGACAATAGTTGTATGTTTTAGATTTTTAAATAGTAACAATGAGAGCAAATTGTTTTATTTCCTTCATGTACTCCGATTCTGTAATTCGTAAAAACATGGTTAATATCATTATTATCATTGCATAGGTATTATAGATATTAGGTGTAGTAAAAAGAAATCCATTATTTTTGCATGAAATTGAATGGAAAAATAATGGATTTCTTTTTACTACACCTAATATGTGGTAAAAAAAGCTGCGTAAAAGACAATATAATGATACCAGATATCGATCCTGTCTTTAAAAGACCAGAGTACTAAGTATAAATGTCGATCGTATAAAAACTTTACTTTATTTTTTATTTTAATAAAAAAAGTAATAAATCATCAAATTAATTATTTAATCTCAGATCTAATGTATATTGCAATGTACTAGCAGTAATTTTGGAATACGGCTGAAGAAGATATAAGATATTTACTATGGCCCGGATTCAGAACGCGCTTACAACGATGTAGCGCGCTAACATGCTATAATTTACGTTCCGCATACTATAGAATTTTATCGATAAAAGCACGTTCTGAATATGGGCCTGTAAGGATTGTAAGGTCGGATTCACACCTTGACGAAAAAACAGAAAACGGAAAAGCAGAAGCCAATCGGAACTCGCAGTAGTAAAGGCTTAAACACAATAGGCACAGGCAATAAGCATAGACAACAGGGAATAAAGAGCCGTCCAATCAAAGTTCTGGGATATAATATCGAACTTACACTTCACTACCTGTACCTATTGTGTTTAAACCTTAATAGACAGTACATTCCGCTTCTGTCTTTCCGCGAGTTCTGATTGGCTTCCGCTTTTCCGCTTTCTGTTTTTCCGCTAAGATGTGAATACTCCCTAAGCACATTTTGAAAATTCTGAAAACGCCCATAATTTTTATATCATGGGATCACCTAGCGCCTAGTGCAGGTGTTTTCGTTTGCTAGTCGCTACTGGTGATTCATTTCTCGTCATGTTTCGTGCATTTGTTAATCAATGTATCGGCTCACGAACTCATGTGCGCTTATGTTCCTGATCCTGAATCCTACGTTTCGTAGATAGGGCGACTATTCAGTTTTCCTAACCTAAATAGTCGTCAACTTTAATGATTAATAGTTCGCTGAGCAGAACGAAGCTTTTGTCTATCAGATTCACTCATTGCAAAAACATCAAATAAATCTAATTCATAATCAATATTAGGTAATTATCTTGATAAATCTCAATAATTATCTTGATGCCCCTCATAGATCTTGTTGTCTAATTTAACAACTATTTGTAGATTATGGAAACGTCGGACAACTCAGTAGAACCTGCTAAAGTCGCTGAGGAAAACGAAAACGTAAGTATCTGCAATTTTGTAAAATAGAAAATATTTTTTCATTTGTATCTGTTTATTAACTATATACTTATTTGGCAAATAAGAAATTAATTATTGTTTGTTTGCAAACAAAACTATTTCACGATTTTGTATTTTTATCCGGTTTAACATTTATAATTAATGTGTATCATTTATTTGTAAATATTTGTAATCTGTTTACAATTTCGTTGCATGCAGTGTGAGAATATCAAAGGCTATGTAGAACCTAGATTTGAGTGTCCCATATGTCTAACATGGCTACGCGATCCAGTTTTAACATCTTGTGGCCATAAATTTTGTTCTCAGTGTATTTATACTTGGCTTAAGTAAGTTGTATTTCATTTCATTAATCATGATTCTACCATTGTATAAAGTTGACTGGTCATTATGAATTATTAGGAAAGAAGGCGCTTGCTGTCCAGTTGATAGTCAACCTTTGAAATCTGAAAATCTTTTCCCAGATCTTTATACCACTCGAGAGATATCTCAGAAACGTACAAGTTGTATTTATCAGCAATTTGGTTGTCAAGTAAAATTGTCTCCTGTGGATATGGAAACACATATCATTCAATGCACATATAAACAAGATATTTCAGAGTCTCGAGGTACATTTTATATAATCAAATTAATATAAAGTAATACAAATTGTTCCTACTTTTTAAAATTAATTGTTATAATTGTCTGGTAGTACAAAATAGCACTAATGCAATGTCTGTGGAATCAAAATTATGGGATCCACCTCTAAAAAATAGGATACAAGTTGCAGACAAGGAAGAGCCTTCTCCTGATTGGCAACAATTGCTCAAGTAATTTAAATATGATTTTAAAAAGATTATATTTATATATGCTGAAATGTATATGAAAGATATAAATTTTGTTTTTAGAAATCTGTATGAAAGAATAGTAGTTTTGGAACAAGAAAATCGGGAGCTCTCTATAACAGTATCTAATCAAAAAAATCAGCTCGCAACTATGTGTCTACGAAATTGTAATGGAGTTTATATATGGAGACTGAAATCTTTCCAAGAAAAACTCGACGCTATGACAAATGATCCTCAAAAAATGTTTTATAGTCCAGGTTTTTATACAAGTCCAAACGGATATAAGATCTGTGCGAGGATTAATATATCATCCAAGAATCCCGATTATCTGTCTTTTCTTTTACATATTATGAAATCAGACAATGACGACGCTTTGGACTGGCCATTTAATGGTACAATGTTTTTTGCGTTGGTACATCCACAAAATTCGGAAAAAAATATATGTGAAAAGACATCGTCAATACTAGGTCTTGAGGCATTCCAAAAACCCACGTGTGAATTGAATAAACGTAGCTTCGGTTATACAGAATTTATATGTGTGCGCGATATAACTGATTTTCTGCGGCACGATACTTTAATTTTAAAAATTGAAGTTTATCCTATATCTTATAGAGATAATATCAAATAGTTATTATGAATTAAGATATGAGTAAACTTTATAAATAACGTGTGTGTGTGTGTATGTGTGTGTGTGTGTGTGTGTGTGTGTGTGTGTGTGTGTGTGTGTGTGTGTGTGTGTGTGTAATATATTTATATGTAATTTTTATATGTACTGCAGAGTGTTCCATTTTAATTCTCCCAGGTAACTATTTTGAAAAATATATAAGATACGAAAAATCATTTTAGACAAAAGTTATAATAAGGGATGGGTTCCGAGTAACATGAAGCGCGTAGACTGCATAGACACTCCGATTCGAATCAATGCATGTATTGGAAGTATTTTAGTAGCGCTGAGAATTTCCTAGATTGTACTATTCGTATTGAATTCTTAGCATTCTTTCCAGTGCATTGTCTGCTTTAGGGATTCTATTTCGACTTGAGACAATTGAAGCGTTTGATGCACTTCATGCTGTTCGGAACAAATATTCATGATACTATGATTCTTAAGTGGGAAATCCATCTAAAGGTTCTAAAGAAGAAGAAGTCGAAATGAATAACGGACAATTTGAAAGATATTTATTTTATATTATAATTAGTTTATTTCATCTTAATTACAAGTTTTAAGTTTGGAGGTCAATCTTTTTGATGTGTTACGTTATTATGTTACGTTATTATGTTAAATACTTTTAAATAATAATTAAAAATA